AGCCGCCAATGATATAACCATGTCTCCATTGTGTGCTTGTTCTTCTCACCCCCTTTCCTTTAGCCCACCACTGAGCGCCAAAACAATGTGGCACCTCCATCGCATCTCGCCAGAGAATCTACGGACATATCAGACTTTCCCTTCAGGAAAGAGAGTGACTTCACAGGAGAGAGAAGTCCGAGACAGCTATTTTCAGTTCAGAGCCTGAATGAAGAATGCTGACATTCCTGTATAACCCTTGAGAGGAAAGTCAGAGCTTGGGAGTAAAAAAATGTTTGAAGAATGGGAAATCATAAAATTGATTTTCTTCACCATGCCTTGTTGCCTAAGAATACTTGTGTTAGACAATAGTCCATAAAAACTGAAGTACTGGAGGTGATCAGATGTTAACCTATATCATATATCATTCATTTACACTGGCTTCAATTTCATGCTTATTTTTTCTTGTTTACACAGCTTACACCTTCCATGACCGAAGGGATGAATTGTTGGTACTTGACAATACTGAATTAGCCAAAGTTAATAATCTAATATGAATCAATTTGGCGTAGACACCAGCTGAAAACTGGGAAACATTGAGTTCTAATCTTGTTTTAGCCACAGATTAGCTGGGTGACCTTAGGCCAATCACTTTTTACTTAGCCTTAGGAAGGAGGTAAAGGCAAACCATTTCCTAAATCCTGTCAAAAAAATCTGCAGGTAGTTGTCAGGAATCAAGATTGACTTGAAGGCCTGCAGGTACATACTGTACATACACAAAAGCTCAAAAAATGAATAAGCAGATTCGGGGTATGCTATCTCTGAACTTGGAGTTTTTATTTTGCTATTGTGCATATGTTCCATGTAATAGAAAATACCAAGCAGTATTCCTAGCGTTTTAGTACCAAGCCCTAAAATAAACACATTTATTAACAAACATAAAACTCATCATTCTGTATCTCAATTCTTTAACTATAAGCAAATCCAGTACACAATGTCATTTCCAGTCAGATATCAGCAAACCCAGAAAGAATCCTAAAGTAACAACAGATCCCATTTGATCCCTGATCAAATAAGCCTCGTTTAAAACTTTACATAAAACAATCTTGTCTTTAACCCTTTGAATGATCATTGCTCCCTGTCTTGAATTTCTTCAAACTTCAGCAAACTTATTTCATAAGTCCAGCAGGTAGAAATTATTCCAATTGCTCTCTTTAATTGGCATTTTATTAATTTTTACAGCCTCATCTAATTTTTTTTGTATATCAGTGATGAATTCTTGTTCATGTTGTTGCTCATAATCTTGTCAGATCATTTCCCCCTCCCCCAAATCTTTCATTTATTTTTGTAATAGCATCTTCTGGTATCACAGCTCCTTCTGGGAACAGGGTTTATTGCTGCATAAAAAAATGCAACATAGCCAGCAATCTTGATTCAAAGTCCTATTTCCATTTCTCAACAACATCTATGAACACAATTATAAGTTGCTTATCTTGTTATGTAAGAGATAACTTTTCTTTCCCATGAAAATGCATTTCCTGTTTAACATTTATTCATTTCAGGCTTAATATTCAAAATCAAATATTCCAACTTTTTCTGACCTCTTAAACCAGGGGTTCCCAAACTTGGCAACTTTAAGACTTGTGGACTTCAACTCCCAGAATTCTCCAGCCAGCTGGCTGGAGAATTCTGAGAGTTGAAGTCCACAAGTCTTAAAGTTGCCAAAATTGGAGACCTCTATCTTAAACTGTTTAAAACTTTCTGTAGTCAAAACATTGATTTCCTTTTTGTTTTTTACTTTGAATTTATAAAGTTAATAAAGAGAAAGTTTCATTTTTGTATGCTAAAGATTTGAAGGCACACGTTCAGTGTTTCCAGCCTTGTTATTTTAAAGGGGTCTAACATTTAAAGCAGTTCATAGACAATATCTGAGAGTGTTTAGCAAAGAATGTGCAAACGGATGTCCTTTGAAGGCTCTGGCTGTGATTGGAGCAAGAACAAGTTGTCTCATTTCTTGGTTGTCTCATAATCTGAAGACTGCTGCTGTGTAGTCTTCTTGTAAGAAGCAACTGTATGAGAGTTGGGCAGTCTTGTACCCTCTCTTTCTCTAGAGTGGGTCAAAGAAACCAATCTACTCATTGTTTCTTGTTCTTCATCAGCTTCACAAAATGTGAAATGTGGAAAAGTCTACCTTTTCTTCCTCAGAAATGAAAGAGTGTCCTTCCTGATGTTTTGGACCCTTATTAAGTTTTGAGCAATGTTTTCCAGTTTCAAGTTTCTGAGTACAAGTATTCCTTGAGTTAGGACTCGTTGCTTAGCAACTTTTTGAAGTTATGATGGATCTCCCTGTGGTACTTATGGCCCTACCCCATGGTCACATGCATTTGTGCCAGGTGTGCAGCAACCAGCCCACATTTATGGACATTTACAATATCATGTGCAATCATGTGACTGCATTTTGTGAGATTTGTGTCAAAACCTGGCATTTGCTTCTGGTTTTCAGAAAAACTGACCCATAGCAAACCATTGGTTCTCTTAGTGATTGTGGCACTTGCTTAATGGCGGCAACTTCCACTTAACCACTGAAAAAGGTTTTTAAAAAAACTAGTTGGTCATGTAAGTGACATGATTTATGACCATCACAACTTACAGCTGTGATGTTGTAACAGGCTCCATTATAGTCATACACCATGGACTACTCTAATTTATCTGCCTCTTGATTATTTCATCGCTGCTTACTTAATTGTACCTATTTATATTCTTAAGTTTAGAGGGCACTGTTTCTTTTAACCAATATGGTATTTGCACTGAGAGCTTTTGTGGTCAAGTATTGATTAGAAAACCTCTAAATAAAGCAGTAATTAATAACAATATTTCCTTTTTAGTATAGAGGTATTTATTATAAGAAAGGTAAGGGCATTGTATAGTCAAATATTCCCTCTTGTACGAAAGTTGCTTTATCATTGCTATGAAAATGTCGTTCTCTATAATTGCATTGGATGGAAGAAAAGACAAACTTAGATAAATGACTTTTTTCCTTTCTGCTCTCAGAATCATTGTTTATTTGCATATTCTTTGCAAAAATACATTGACTGATTTGTTATCTGATCTTTCATGACAGCCTTTAGTGTTACTTCTGCATGTCCAGTTGCAAGGTCCTAAATCTCCCATGTTGTCACCTTCTTGTCTCTCAGAAGTAGATCTTGAAGGATCTGGAAAGAACATTAATTAGTTTTCCAGACTAGGTCTCACTTGACTTTAAATTATTTCTGTCTTCCTTACTTTGTTCTTGGATCGCTTACTAAACTTGTGTATAACACCAGATCTATAGCAATGCTGCTTCCTGTTCTCACAATTCTGTCCCTCCCTCCTTCCAGGAAATGCCTAAACGTTTTGTTGACAATTTGGAATGCAACAAAGCTTCAGGTCTTAAGCAAAGGTATTTCCAAGTATATGGATCAATTCTGACACATTACTGTATAATACATTTATGAGTATACTTTGAACAGTTATCCTGTGAGTCCTGCCATTAAGATATTCTCAACGGGATGCCACTTAGCTGACATTTTATCCAGTAAATCATTAAGAAATTGAAACAGTCACTTCCATTTGCTTCAAAGTCAGATTAGAGACAAATAGTTCATATTGTCTAAACATAACAGCAATAGCAATACCACTCCATAATGCTTTATAACAGAGGTCTCCACCCCCTGGTCCGTCTGCAGCATGCCAGAAACAGGCTGCGCAAACAAGCAAAGCCCCATCTGCGGGATGCAGGCAGCACAAGAAACCATGCCCTCTCCAGTCTATGGAAAAATCTCCCCCTCCAAACCGGTCCCTGTTACCCAAAAGGTTGGGGGTGCTGCTCTACAGCATTCTCTGGTTTACAAATGCCAGCATGTTGTCCCCAACAATCTGGGTCCTCATTTTACTAACTTCAGAAGGATGGAAGGCTGAGTCAATATTGAGCCTGTCAGGATCGAACTCCAGACTCTGGGCAGGGTAATACTGCAATACTGCATTCTAACCACTGTGCCACCATGGCTCCTACATTCAGTACCAAGCAAACCATAAGCTATTAAAACCAGCTGAGAGAACCAAAGAAGGGACAGATTCTGAAGCACCTTGTGGGTTTTCAGGCATATAGTGCAGCCAAGAGAAGTCCGTTTAAGTCTCCAGAAATAGAGAGAAAATAAAGAATGTGGTGTCAAGAAAGTAGGTAAATCTCAGTCTCCTCCTTTTCTGAAGAAGCCCAAGTATGAAAGACATCTTTGGTTGGGAATGTATTGACAAATCATTTATTCTAAGGTCAGAATTTGGTTTAACCTTTTTGAGCCAATCTGAATTCTAAGGATTCATCATTTAAAAATACCTCAGTTCATGCTCTAGTATAATTTAATTCCATAAATTTATAACTGCATCAATATACTGATGTGAAGTTTGCCTTCTGATCACTGAAGTTTCTAATTGTAATAATAATTGTTTTGGGAAGGAGTAGAAAGCTTTCTGAGCTCAAAAAATGCTGAGCTTGCAGAACAATATAAATGGGACATTTAGTAGTCTCACATTTGTTGAAGGTTCCAACATGGACAACATTTGAAATTCCTTCATTTTTTTTAATCTTAGGGATAAAAAAAGGGATGCTAGTCCATTTTTACTGTATATATCATCCAATTTACAGAAAGAAATGAAATGGAATTATATTTAAAAATTTAAATTTCTTGTAATGAACATTGGAAACAATAGCAAAGTTCTCTTTTTCGATCTTGCGGCCTGACATTTAGTGTCGTCTCCAGTATTATTATTATTTTCTTATATTCCCCTCCCTATGTTAGAAATCTGTCAAAGTTGCCTTGGCCAGCCTTTGTGTAGCATTATATCTGATATAGACTGGCAATTTTTTTTTTGTAGGGGAAATTACATAAAACATTATAGAAGGAGAGATTTCAGAGCTGGATTTGAATCATGTGAGAGCAAAGAAGCGCAACTACACTGTGGATGGGATAGGGTGGGAATTGTTCTTACTGTAGGAAGTCTGGAGATTTTATCATAGCATGTTCAAATTCTGCCAGAGAGAGCATTCTGTCATTATCCAAGTCAGCTTCCTCCAAAATCTGTTTCAAACACAAAGTATGTATTATACAGAAATAATATTTCTGTTTCATATTAGTCAACATAAGAATTTTATTTTTGCGCTCCAAAATGGATTTCTTTTTCCAGTCTCATTCTCAAAATGTGCTTGGACTACAACTCGCAGATGTCCATCTAGGTAGCCATTGGCTTCCCAACACAGCTGGAAGGTATTAGGTTGAAGACAGCCATTAGAAGACAGAAGAGCTGTGTCTCTCATGCCCAGGTTCTACTGAAAAGATAATTAAACTATCTAAAACAATTTTATGCTAAGGCCTCAGTTACTCTCAAGGTGGTAAAGGAAAGAATTACCTACATGGTTCGCCAGAGACACAATTTCTTCCTCACTGAGGTTATTCTTATGGATTAATCTGCGGATTACATTTTGGAGATCTTCCTCATCAACAAAACCATCATTGTTGAAATCTGGGAAATTAAAATATTGTGAAAAATAGAAATAGGGTTGGAATATTTACAGCCTATTATGCAGTCCAGTGCCAAATATTTAAGAATTACACGAACAATATTATCTTTTCTCATAAAACTGCCACGGAATTTCAGTCCATCCAGCCCAGCAATGTTTAATGACTAAAGTATTTTGTCTCCATCTGCCTGATTTTTGTTTTTGCAGCAGAATATGTAAAGAACTGGCCTTGGGATGTGCTGCATAAGCAGTCCCAATTCTGACAATCTGATTCCTTTTCTCCTTTTTTCCATTGACTTCCACACTGAACCTGAACATGGCCTGAAGCTGCTTGTACATAACATGTACACATCACAACGTATGGAAAGAGTGTGCGATGGGGAGCCAGTGTCATTACAGGAATCACATATGTGCTGAGCCACAATTTAATCATGATTTGATGTGCAAGCCATTCACTAGAATTAATCCACCAAAAGAGTGGTAGGGCTATTTATTTATTTATTCATCAAATTTCCAGGCCACCCAACTCCAAAACACTTCTTGGTGGCTTCACAAGGTTAAAAGACTGCAACATTATACATTGAACAAACAGCATTATTTAACAGGTATATATTACAACAGTATATGAGGGAATAACATGCAACACCATCACCCCCAACTAAAAGAACCTACCCAAAACATCCTGAGCAATGCTTGGAGGGGGGAAAAACATATTTTGTGATGTGTTTCTCTGAGGGGAATGTATTCTAAAAAGTAGATTCAGTGACAAAGGTAATTATTCAACACTGGGAATACTGAGTTACTCTGGATTTAAATCTTGGATTATAGATATATGCTTTCTGTTTATAAATTGACAATGGAATGGAATATCACTGCAATGGGAAAACTGATTAACATAATTTCATGTCATTTCAAGTTTTAATGAGTAAAGTGTGAAATAAATTCGGCTGAATTTATTTTTTGTATGCAGTGTGATTATTTAAAATCCCCCCCTCCTTTTACCCTCCTTTTTTCAGTTTTTAAAGTAAAAATCAAACTATCCATATTATGGCTTGAACCAAACAATTGTTTCTTCTCGGGCCATGTCTGCAGACTTTCTATCCCCTCTTTGAAAAATAAAATGGTTCCAATCTCACCTAGGTTTCCAATTCCTGAGGTCGTCCTCAAAGTGCCTCCAGACCTAAGGATGTTTGCTTTTTTCTTAAACTGAAACCATTATTGAGGATATTAGTATGAGGGAATGACATACCATAAATCCGAAAAGCGTATTCAATCTTAAGAGTGGGACATGCTAGGTAACTGAAGACAGATGCCATCCCAAGGATGTCCTCAAATGTAAAGTAGCCATCTGTGGAGAAGACCTTGCAGATCCTGTCCCTGAATGGATTCATCTGGGTGAAAATAGAAGAACTTGACAACAATTATTCTTAGTGGAGCACTTCTAGCCTACATATGGGCAACTATATAAATTTAATAATAGCAGTTTTACACAATGTGGCTTGATAGAATCTTTCTTTGATACTATATTCGATGTAAAACCATAAACAGACTGCACTGAAATACTTTTATGCTGTGAATATCCTCATATACAAGAAGAATATTTCTTTGATTAAATTGTAATAAAGATGCTTTGGCCTCTCATTTCCTGTCTTCCTGTTTCAAGCCTTCTGCAGTTTTTCTTATTCACCATTAGGTGGCAGTAGATCATTAGTTCAAAGAAAACACTTGTCCATATTCTATCAGCACCTGCCTCTTTGCTCTAAGTAGCAGAATAGAGGAAATATCTACAGTCCCACTATATCCTAATAAAGCTATGGAAGATGCAACCACATACAATGCTGGCTTATATTTACATGTAAAATGTTAAACCCATGTTACTAAAACCGCATTCACATAACATGTTATGCTCTGCCAGTGATATTAGAACTAAACCCTGGCTCATACAACTATAACTCAATTCCATTTTAGCCTAATCTAGTACATTGTATGATCCCCATCCAATATATAATATCCTCTACCATCCTCTCCTTAGATGACAGCCTTACAAATCATCCAAGGTGTCCAGCAAAAACATAATGGTGAGATAATTTCAACTATCCCAGTGTCTGTCAGCTGAGAATTTTGCAGCAAGTGAGAGATTCAATGGGTTCTTGACATGCCTTGTAGACAACTTCATTGTCAACAAGGTGGAGGAAGGTTAGAGAGGATTGGTTATACTAGACTTACTAAGAGAGAAAGAATGTCTGAGCAAGTGAAAATTGTAAAAACCTTGGGAGAGAATATTCATATGATCCTAAAATCCACAATGTTGTAGACAAGAAAAACTGAATGTAGACTTTACATATATTCTAAATATCCAAGAGAATATATTTTAATAAAGTATAAGAAAAAATGTAGGAGTGATTTCATGGTGAGAAAACCTAAAGGGAAAAAAAGTTCAGAAGGATTGCAAAATTCTGAAAAATTAGATAATTAAGCCCCCAAGACAGACAATATTAAACGGAAATAAAAATGGGAGACAGCTGATGAGACTGGTATGGCTGCATAGAAAATTCTGTGACAAACCAAGGAACAAAAAATTAAGTTTAAAAAATGAAAAGTGGGCCACATAACAAAAAATAGAAGATCTCAGAACCATTAATTGTAATCTAAGTGAACACTCTTATGTACATGGGAAGTGTCAAAAAGATTGGTGATGTACTAACATTATTCCGTTAAAAAAAAAAAGGTAAAGAAGGTGTTTTTTTTTAACAAAGTGCAGTTCAATGTCAAGAAATGTAGATTGTGCACTTTGGTAGTAGCTCAGTTGCAGTAGTTGTAAGAAGGATCTGGATATGTTTGTAGATTCTCAGTCATCCAGGTCATGGTGCTTTTTTCCTTTTTATTCTTTTTTAAAAAAATAAACTTTATTGAATTTTATTACATTAAAAACATAAAAAATATATAACAGCTGTTTGTGGTGCTTATCATGTAACAATCATTTGTGCAATATTTACAAATATTAATTTGTGCATAATTATATTCTTATTTTATCTATATTCTATATTTAATAACTACTTATCCTTAGTCTGTCTTCAATCTATCCAGTTATACCATTGTTCCCATACCTTATAAAATATTGAAGATTCCTTATCTTTTAGACTCAGCGTTAATTTATCCATTTCAGCACAATTCATAACTTTTTGTATAACCAGTTCCTCTACAGGTATATAAGACTAAGCATGGTGTATTTTTTTCAAGAGGCAACTGGGCTTTCTGGTTTTCCTTTGAAGACGTTTTGCTTCTTCAGCTCTGACTGAATGGTGGGGAATGGAAGGAATTGTACTCCTTGCAGACAGCTGGTCATTTACATTCTTTTAGCAAGTTGTTAAGGCCACCTGGAGGTTTATCTGGGTCATCAGAGTCACCTAAATGATGCAAATTGGTATGGAGCCTCCTTGGAACTGTTGAAAGGACTGTGTTGTAGATTGGAGATAGATGATGTTGTACCCCTCCCCCGCAGATCTGGATATCTATGTATAGAATAGGACCTATGTATAGGATCTGGATATCTGTGTAAACCACTAATTAAGCATGTGTTAGTTACGTTCTGCAGTTACCAAAAGAGAGGTAATGCAGTCCTGATCTACATCAACAGAGGTATAATTATTCTGCTCAGCACTGTACTGATAAGACTGCTTTTAGAATACTTTATCCAGGTTTATTGCCCCAATATAAGAAGGATGCCAAGGAATTGGAAATATTACAAAGAAGAGCAACAAAGATGCTGATTAGCTTGGACACTATATCTATGAAAATGACTAAAAGAATTTAGTATATTTCACCTAAATAAGAAAATCTAAAGGAAAACAAAATAGTACTCTTCTAATACTTGAAGGAGAACACTTGCCATAGAGAAGAGAGTATGGATTTATTTTCCATAGTTCATGCGGTAGTTCATGAGGGTAGGAAAAGAGCAATGGGTTTAAAATTTACAAAGATATCCAAACTGAAAACAAAAACATAATTTCCTTATCAAGCTTGATGCTTTTGTCACGCTTGATGCTATTCATGAGAGCTACTAAGTAATGAAATAACCCCACCTAGAATTGTGGGTGCTTCATCACTGGAGATTTTCAAACAAAGATTGGACAGCCATTTTTCTGGGATGCCTGAGGATTTTTGCCCAGAAGAAATTAGGACTGGAAGATATCTGGGGACTCTTTCAATTCTATGCCAGAGGTAGTGGTTGAATTCAGTATGCAGTATGTTTGTTTTTATCTTAGTTCAGTGTAGGGGTCGTCAAACTTGACAGCTTTGAGACTTGTGGACTTTAACTCCCAGAATTCCTCCCTTAGTCATGTTAGCTCAGGAATTCTGGGAGTTGAAGTCCACAAGTCTTAAACTTGCCAAGTTTGAAGACCCTTGGTTCAGCGTGTGGCCCTAGCCAGTTATAGTCTATTCAACAAATCATGAATAAACCACGGGATGGTGCAATAACTCACTTGTCTGAAAACAAAATGTTCAAATATGTGACTGATTATTGACTACTGTAAATTTAAAATGAAAGATTTTATAAAAAGCCATGAAGCAGGGAGACTGTTTTATGGGTGCATAAAACTTCCAGGTTCAGAGGTTCTATAGAGATTCCTCTGTTAGGGAGCAATAGTAGAAGGGAGAAGAAGCATCTAGCTCGTTATTTTGGAAATTTGAAATGATCTGGCAGAGATCTTGTTATGTCTATCCATTTGTGCATATGCCCACAAAAACCCACCCCTTTCTTTCTACAGGGCTGAGTTTTGTGGCTTAGTTTCTCTACTAGATTTACAAAGAACCCTTTCAATCCTTACCATTGTTTTACTCCTATGTCTAATTATACTGCTTGGCAAAACAAGTTCTTGGGTTTCTTCTGACTTAAGATTAAGATTCAGAGACAACCCTGGTTGAAGGGTTTGCAATTGAAGGTGGATATTTCTAGCCTTCTCTCTAAAATAGATTCTGTCTCACTCTTGGCCAGGAACACTAATGAAAAACAAATCAGAAAAGAGAGAGAGAGAAAAGAAATCTTCATTCTCTATTGTTCTTTGTGAAAGGAAAATAAGTGCTTTCTGAAATAGTCTTGAAAATGCGTACCATGTATATTGCTTTCTCTGAAAACTATTATTGTGCCCCAAATAAGGGAGATTTTTTCCCCTAAAGATTTATAGAAACAAAGAGACTTAAGCTTCAATGGGAATCTGAGGTCATTCAGATCCTGTTAAAATCAGCCTGCAACCGATGCTGTGGATCTTAGAGGCTCCTTCCTACAAATGTCTTTTTGCCCCACATCAAGACAAAACTGGGCTTCAAGCACACTGTTAGATGTTACGTTGCCTTTCAAAACACAGATTTGCCCCATCAGACTGCCATGGGTGGTAAAGCTTTCATGGTTGTGTAACATCCATTTCTGAATTATCTTTGAAGGAAAACTTTGTTGCCTTTCAAGGAATATTTTGCAGAAACTTGAAGAAAGGACTGTGTGCTTATAATTTTGTGTTTGTGACTTAGCTACATGAGTATGGTTCATGGTCAGGGGTGGGTTTCTACCAGTTCTGTCCACCTCTGTAGAACCGGTAGCTCTGAAGAGCAGCAAACATAGAACCAGTTCTATATCTGCTGATGATTTTGCCCGCCCGCCCACCTGATCTTTATTTCCTGATTTTTCAACTTCAGCTGCCAAATGAGGCACAGCTGCAGTTAAAAAAGCAGGAAAAGAGGGCTGTTTCAAAGGCTGCTTCTCTGCACGCAGCCTGCTGATGACAATTTACAGGCTCGCAGCTCCCAGCGTGCAAGGAACCTTGTAAATCCCGAACCGGTAGTTAACCCTGTCGTATCCCACCCCTGTTCATGGTGCTCATATTCTGACAACATTTGAAACAGTATGATCCTCATTCATGGCATGATTTGAAACTTGTTAGTATGCTGCAATTTTCCTTTTGTGAGAGGAAAATAGAATGGAATGAATATATGACAACTCGGGAACAAGATTTCAAAAGTACTAAAAAAATTATGTCAGCTTACTGAAGAATAGAGATGGTTTAAACTTTGTTGTCTGAGTTGTTTGGAACAGCCCAGATTCAATAGGGAGAGAGAGAGAGAGAGACAGACAGACATACAGACAGACTAGATTGAGTTTACTATGGGGCCTTAGTCTATCTATCAACTAAATGTACCAACACTGCAGAATTTGTTGCAAATATAAAAATGAGGGTTATTCCAAACTTAAAGCAAATGGGAATATAAATACTGCACAAAGAATGAAATTATATCTTTCTGTCTACCTACTCATCATCCAACCATTCACCCATCCATCCATCTGCCCATCCATCTCTCTAGCCAGCTTGCTCACATCTCTGTCTATATCTTTGTGTATCTGTATATATGTGCATGCAGGTATACATGCATATATAACCATTATTACAATCTATTATCAACTATTCAATTGGATAGATAAGATTTCGATATTCCGTAATTTAAAAACTATGGCCTACACATTGTTCAAAATGAAAAAAAGTCATGACATAAGCCTAAGATTGAAAACCAGGCTTATCAGATGTTACATCTTTTCTATCCTGTTCTACGGAGTAGAGAGTTGGTCTCTGACAGAAAGCCACTTGAAGAGAATAGAAGCATTTGAAATGTGGATTTACAGATGGCTATTACCTATAAGTTGGATTGACAAAATCAGAAATGAGGAGGTGATAAACCATCTAGGAAAGCCAAGGGAAATCATCAAAACCAGGAAAAAGCGAAAATTAGAATATTTTGGACACGCGATGCGACACCCAGAAAAGTACACCATACTTCACTTAATCCTCTAAGGAAATATTCAGGCAGAATAAGAACATCATGGCTTCAAAATATAAGGGACTGGTTTGGACAAAACTCAATAGCACTTTTCCGTGTGGTTGTTGATAAAAATAGGATTGCCAACATCCGATGACAGATATGGCACAAGAAGAGGAAGAAGAAGAAGGCATGCCCATAAACAGGTGCAATGCATTAGCTTCCCTGAAGATGGCGGAGGTCCATTACCAAAGAGTTTTTCTCTCCCTCCTCCCCTCCTGCCTGTACATCAAATCTTTAAAAAACAGAATTCAAAGTAGTTAAAGAATCTAGATATGGCCCAGATCAAGGCCCAGTCTCCCCCTCACGATTTTCCATTTACTGAACACTTCCCCCCCCCTCCTGCAGCTGTTATTTAAAATGAAGGGAGGGAGGAAAAAAGCAAACCCAGAGTACATTATGTCTCTGTCTGCATAAATGGAAAAAAGTTTCTCTTTTGAGTAGTTTGTAAGCTGATACTGGATGCTGGCCAAAATCCAGAAAACATCGAGTTAGAGCCACATAGACGGCGTGGTAGTCTGTTGTTTTCTTTCCCAATATCCCCTTCCCTAAAAACACTCTTCAGAGACTGGGGTAATAGACTACAGGAAAAGAAAAGGTCCGTTTCATGTTAAAACCTAAATTTAATGACACTTGCTGGGCCATGGCCAGGAACCTTCATATATCACCATCCAAACAACAGGGATCAGCAATTCAGTATCTAGCCAAGCCAATTGGCACCTGGCCCTGTCCACAAGCAATAAAATTTTTATTTTAGTAGCTATTACTCCCATTTAAGTGCACATACAAATATTGTCCAAGATTTTTTTTTTTCTCTCAACTGTACTGAGGGGTGGAAAACAAATTGCTTGTGAAGTTTGCCTTGTGTTATTTTATTTAAGTTAGGAAAGCAGCACCCTTGGCCTCTGTTTCATGCTAAGGAGATGAACTCGGAGCCTAGATTTGTTGGAAAGTACTGCTGAAAGCTCAATTGAGACCGAGGCATATGAGGTTTTAAGGCCCTGATTCTTCAAAGGGATCCAATGGATTAGAAGATGGTCGGTTTTAATATACAATTGATATATATCACCAGAGAAATTGTACAGAATGTAAATTGCAAGTTTATGATACAAATGTGAATAACAAAGCTAGAAAATTTTGGATCCAATCTTTACAAGCATGTCTATCATCTCTTCAGAAAAAAAAATACAGCACAGATAAGCGAATACCTAACAGCTCAAAATCATATCTCATTTCAACAACCACTACTACAACCACAACCACAAATAGCCACCAAACCACAACCTCAACCACAAAC